CTGAAGTCACTGTAGTTTAATTTTCAGTTTTTTTTATTAGCTTCGTTTAGACCTAATCTTGGGAAAGTCCATCTTATTAGACGCCATTGGGAACAAGTGAGGCTTCTGTTCGCAAGGAGTGCGCGAACTGATCCCACAATGACTTGACCATCGATTTTTTTGAGTCCATTCATTCAACAGGATACCCAGCAATTGTAAACAAGTGAGGTTTCCGTTCACTAGCCGTGCGCACTGATTCCACACTTTCAAAATTCTGGAGTGTACAACCACGGAAGCGGAATAGAGAATCAACCTATACATTTATTATATTTGGCAACTTGGAAACACATGTGGCTCTTTTCTCTCAAGATTTATTGCCCCTTTCCAGTAGAATTTAAATATAGTTCGCCAAAGACTTTCAGTTGATGTTCTTGCACTGATCATTCCTTTCATCAAAAGGGGGCCCAGCTAATTATATAATAATAACGTAGATCCCATTACACGTATTATTAATAATAGACTTTTATTTCCTTTTTTTCACGCTATTTCAAAATCGGTCCGGATAAGCTAACAGTAACACTAATAGAGTTTTGATGAGGTGACCACACTGAAGATGAGCAGAACATGAGAGATTAGGAAATTATAGGAAAAAATTTGAGGAACCACTTATCCTCCAATATCACTTTAATGGGTGAATCAATGTTACACACCTATACTTTGCAAAGCAGTTTCATCAATTGTTTTCAACTTAATCATATGTGTCACGGCGCAGTCGAATCAGGCGCTCGTCAATTGTTGGGCATAGGGAGTTATTGGTATCATCTTAAAGGTTATCCATTTGCCTTGCTTTCAATGAAAAAAAGATCCCTTTATCTAGAATAGAAGTCGAGAAAGCGATAGAAGGATGTGGGGTCGGTCGCCTGTTTTCAGAAGTAAAATTAGCGAGAAAATGGCCGCCGAAGTTTGGTGACTTCCTCAGCTTAAGATTTCTTGGAAACTGCAAATTTACATTTTTTGTGCCTTTAATTGTTTTGTTTTTTTAATCGACACAAAAGTTTTTGAATGGTCATACAAGGTGTTGAGCCAAAAAAAAAAAAAATTCTACAAAAATGTCCAAACTGGCTGAAAAATGCCTATTTCTTGAATTTCATCATTTAGACGAGTGCCTGATTTCACCACCATGCCTCACATATTTTTCCATCCACAACAGTTGAGGTTAGATTTTTTAAACTTTTCTTCATAAATATATATTTTAAAAAACTACAAACTTGTTGCACGGAAAATGGCGAGTGTTCACACCAATTCCCGTCTCTGGCACATATTTTGCACACATACGAGTATATGGCCTGCGTCACAGCTCGCCAATGACACTTTTAAGTGGTAAAACATAAATATGATCACCTACATGATAAATGTCAATGTGATACTGCATTTGTAAAGAATTTCTGCTCTAACTTAAACTACTTTATAACTAGTCTGATGAGAAGCAGCATGATGGTGAGAAAGAACCGTAAAGGGATATTGCAACAGGAAGGTGCTTTGGTTTGATGCCATCATTTTTTACTTGGTTTGATACCAGTGAGAAAGTTTTATTCTGCACCATTAATAGCACTGGAGGTGCTCAAAACATGAGTGGGGGCTATCGTGGCTTAGAGGTTAAGGTGTTGGCCTCTCATTCAAAAGGTCCCGGGTTCGAATCCGGGTAGCCCCTCACCTCCTTTGCCCCCTCCTCTGAGCTCCTGACTCTTTCTGCAGCCTTTCAACTGCTACTCCTTGGCTCCTCCTTACTGCTGTGTTTCTGCTACACCCCTGATCTTCTGGTAGGAAAGATCTACACCTAGCCTTCTCGGACAAGGGCGAAAAATCTCGGAGGGCCCGTGTGCAAGTTGCGCACGTTAAAGATCCCTTGGTGGTCTAAAATCGATAAGAGTAGGCTTCGGCCGCCACCCGGGCAAAATTCAAAATTTCCTACCAACTGAAAATATTAGGTGTGTCCCGCAAGCTCATATGACCTATGCAGTTGCGAGCGCCGTAAAACACTACCAAAAAAAAAAAAGAAGAAGAAAAACATGAGTTCAACCAACATCATGTCTTGACTGGGAGAAGTAGGACAAACTTAATTTTAAAAGTGCTATTGTCCCAGCTATTAGGATGTAAAGCTTTTAAAATCTGTAGAAACCATCAAAAAGGACATTTTATTAGTATTTATTAAGGAATTTTCTAAACCACAGGTGCTTTAAAAAAACATTCATCTGTTGATTGAAATAACTCATTGTGCAGAAAATGGTGAGTCTATGTTCAATAGTTACATGTTATTGTTAGGCCACACATTTTTTACCACAGTACAGTTAGATTTGAGCTGCCAGTAATTAATACCCTTCTTCACACACCTCCCCTCCCCCAACCACAACTTCAAACAAACATTACACAAAACATGCTTTTATGTAGTGTTGTAAACATTTTATTCAACAACATGAAGATAGAAATATGGTGCACGGTGGGATCACAGGAACCTCGGCTCGCGTCTCTCCTGGCTCTCTGAACTCCTCTCACACGCACGGAAGGTTGGACAGACATACTGGTCAATGATTATGCAGATAAAACACACACAACTATAATCATTAACAAATACATGCACACGTGCAAATCAAACACGTGAACATGTGATGACACACAAATACACACAAACATACACACACATAATACATATGCTCACACAAACAGACACAAAATCATACATACATCAGAATACATGCACGTACACTCTCGCACACACATTAGCACAAAGGACTGAAACATTTGTTTGTTTTATTAATAAACCAAAAAAAAACAAAAAACAATGGAAGATGTACATGAAACTCATTCATTTCCCATAACCTCGGGACAAAGAAGGACTTATTTCAAATTTGAGCAACTCAACCTCTTCCAATCACTCAAATACATACTTTTTTTTACAGGAGTAGACCCGCCATGTCAATACTACTACTACTACTACTAATTGCATTTTAATAGTGCATATATCCATGATCTACAATAGTGCATACCTACCTGGATCGCACTCAACCATCACAGATTTCAAGAAAAACAAACTGCCGGCCCCTCTCAAAAATGGTTATCAAGTACTATTATTCAAAACTTCAACACAAATCCTGTAATTTTGGAGGGGGGTAGGGATCACCCAGGTAGTGTCAGGTATTAATTAAACCCCCCACTTGAAAATGCATTTGAGCTTCTAAAAGGTGCAAAACTTGGCGTTGGCTATAAAACAGCTGACAAGCACTGCTCTGCAGCTCCCTTTATTTTATGTCTATGCCTTTTACAATATACAAAACGGACATGTCAAAAGCATTGTCCCATCTACTTAAAGAATCACTATACTTTACAGGTACTGGAGCTGCAAAGATATGCATACATTAAGGATTGTACAGTGTTTTTAAAAAATCAATAGGCCTACCAACTCTAGACTACTCATGAGTGAGGATGGCTAAAACACTGAACTAACAAAAGAGAACAGAGAACACTATTCTATACATGTACATAGCTCAGACTGCACAAAGAAGGTGAAAACTATGATGAAAATCAGCCAAGGTTCTTGGAATGCTAATCGGAAAAAACAGTTTTAATGACACTGAAAAAAAACCCCCCCAGCTTGAAATGACACAAATGGAGTCTTCACTTTCTGCCATAATATGGTAAATATTCTTTGTATATGCATTCACTCTCTTACATTAAGTTACACACATGCACTTTTCCACAATTACTGAACTCTCAATAAACTATCAGTTCCACAACACAATAACTGCATCCAATATTTTTTAAAAATCCGTACGCTCAAATTTCAAAACTGAGCAATACTTCAAACACATCTAAATCTTCTGTAACAAGTAAAAAGAAGAAAAAATCCAACCTGGTATTTAGTCCATTTATCATCATTGAATCCACAGCTGGGAAAACTTTTACCATTACAAATACAAATAGTGAAATAATTTATGCACTATGAATTCTGAGAACTGATAGCACTTGAAGGTTAAATCTTAATTCAAATAGAGTGAAGAGACGAAGCATTCAACTGTCTTATGGTCCCACATTTTGAAAAAATCCAGCGCTACATTTTCCTGGACAAATAATTTCAACAAATAATGTGCACATTGAGTTCTCTTTAAAGAAACTTTTAAATGAGATTAAAATCGCAACTCATGATTACCTCTTCCTCAATTTTAAGAGTGGAGTATACAACAATGAGGGGGTAGGGCAAATATTTACAACACTGTTCATATTTCTGTTGGATTCTTTTTCCTGTCTATTGCAATTGCCACTTCTCTTAGAAATGTATTTTTAGAAGGAAAATATTTTAAAAGTTAACAAACTGACCAACAGAAGACTGGGACTGTTGAACTAGGACATAAGACGAATAAGTTAAGAGGTTAGAGGTTAGAGATTCAAGGTGGTGGTTGGCAGCCACTTTGGTGTAGTTTACTCCTTCTTTCCTATCAAACATCTACTATCTTTATCAAATCTCTGTACATTCTTTTTTGCATGTAATTCTTTAGTAACACGTCTAATCCTCTGCATTTATATGACCTATTTGTGCTGCTTGTGCTAGTTTAGTTTTAGTAAGTGTTTTACGGCGCTCGCAACACAATAAGGCCATATAAGTGTCGAAGATTAGAAGTGTTACAAGAGAGTAACAAACATATAAAAGAAGGAGAGATAGGGATGATAGATATTATATTTGATAGGAAAGAAGAAGCTGCTTGTGCCTCAAAATTCTTACTAACACTAAGGAGATTCATGACACTCTCAAAATTCACAAGTAATGAAAAAAATGTTTTTGTATCTCTCTTATTATTACTAGATACAAAAAAAGCACTCCTTGAAAGGAATTGCTGAAGTAACAATAGCATAATGATAAACGTAATAAACGAAAATTTCCTGTTGATTCTCTTGATTTTGTACCATATAATAATAAATCACAGTAGGAATTAAATACTTTTTTTGAAAAACAAAATTAGGAACAAACATTAGGAGAGAATTGTCATTTATTTGCCTGTTTGAAAACAAAATATAGCAGTTACACTGTCGTCATCAACATGCTGCACCTACTCCATAACCACAACCAAAGAAAATAAAACCTCATTATAGGATTTGGCCACAGGGAATAAGCCGCCTCTATCTCCCTCAACACCACAATAGCCAGCAGCATTTGACTTAGAGACGTAGACAGGTGGACATCAGAAGACGGCCAGACATCACAACACAAAGCCCAGCATCAGGATCGTGCTTGGGGCAAACATATCTTACGCAGAGATATCTGCAAACTGGACCAATCAGATTCCCAAACAAATTTTTCTACTATATCCAATCATGGAAAATAATGCCCTATACCATGCGTAGATCTAGTTTTACTCTAGAAAAAAAATAATAAAGTCTTCCATTTCTTTGACATTTAGAGATGAAAACAGTTTTTCCCCTTTTCTAGTCTCTTACAAAATAGGTATGTTTAGGGATGGCCACTTTTACGACTGACATCACTAAATATGCCTACAGCTCAATGCTATTACTGTGCATTCATTCCAGTATTTCAATTCTCATTTGTTTGGTTTGAGTAAAGTGAAGAATATATAATAACCTTTTTTTAGAGAAGGGAGAAAAAGCAACGCAGACAGATAGACCGGATTACCAAAAACAGCACAAGGAAAGAAAAGAAGCAGGTCCTATCATCTGCATATCCCAAGCAGCTGCCATATATATGTTTCATTCATTTACTTCCTAAAGAACACTATATAATATAGAAGATTTTCCCACATTTGATCTTCAGCTATACAAGAATATAGGATGAAGAAGATGCATACAAGATGATGTGAAAATTTTAGGGAAAAAATGGCCAGGAGAAGAGGATTTGGGATAAGAAATTAAGAGCAAAGTGCCAAAGAAAAAAATTTAATGTGACAACTAGTAGCCATACACAATAGGAAGAAAAAAAACATTCCCTCAAAAAATCCAAACACTTTCAACCTGCACTCAACAGGAACGCACTCAACCATCACAGACTTCAAGAAAAACAAATAGTGAGCCCCTCCAGAAAAATGGTTATCAAGTACAAAAAGCTCAAACTCCAACAAAGTGTGATGTGTTCCCCAATATTGAACAAATAGGACCACCACTCAGGTGATGTCCAGTTCCCAGAGCTTGCTGAGAGGTGCACATAAAAACAAAGCCGATAATCATCATTGAAAAAAGTTGAAACTGTCAATACGAAAATAGTAAACGTTGCCGTTGGTGTTATTCCACGCTGTTGAATGGTTCAATCTTGTCAGCCACAGACCTAAAGTGGGGAAAAAAGAGTTATGAAACGTCACACACGAGAGACAAAAATCTGTAACGCCAATCCAAAAGAGTATCAGCGTCCAAAGATACCTAGGTGTTTATGACAAGGCGCATGAGAGTGGCAAGGAGGAGTCACCATCCGCTATGAAGATCGCGCTTCGATAAGACTCCGTAACAAGAGTTTCATGTCATCGCTGGCGACATCCATCGCTGTGTTGCCCTCTACGTCTTGCAGCGATTCGTTGATTCCATGGTTCATGAGCAGTTGCGCCACATCTGCATGATCACAGGACACGGCTGTGGAACACAGACATTTATTCAGTTGAGAATTCTTTGCTGCACAGCACTATAGAAACATTTTGTTTAGTGAATCTGAGAGTTGAGTTTTCAGTTTGAGTAAAGAAAAGCATATCCAAACAATAATGGCCAATTTGTGTTGGGGAAAAAAGTATTAATTAAAGACAGAAACAATAGAAGGAGAAAAAAAAAAAAAAGAAGTGGGACCAACATGTGGTGCCCTCCAACCATCTACGAACCAGAATGACATCTTACTGTGTACATCAGGCCACACAAGGGGACAAACAGAGATAAAGAAAGATATTTCTTCACTACTCCACTTCCTCCCCCACCCCCCTCCCCCGAGGGCATAAAACTGAAGCCAGTCAGTCAGGTGTATACCCCTTTACTCCTCATTATTTACAATATCATTTAGTTTCTGCAGCTGGTTGAAAAATGAAAATGGGGTTAAGTAAGCTTATCTTTCTAAAGAATGACATCATCCTACCCTTTTGTTACACGTCTGATTCCTTACATCCCTGAGTAGAACATCCCTAACTTAAGCACAGTAGACAGTAAAGGAGAACTTAAGAACAGGTTTTGCCACAGCATTTCGCACTCACCATAATGAAGAGCTGTCTGCTGGTCCATGTCCTAGATGAAAGAAAAGGAAGAATCTCAGTTCTTTAGGCCAATTTAGTCACAGAAGTGGAAGTAACATATAAAACAAGGGTCATGCTGTATAAAGTTAGAGGGAGAAAGGGATATTGACAAAAGAAACAAAAAAACAGTATGAAGAGGAAAGAAAAAAGACATAGGGAGGATGTAAGAAATCAATGGAGAGAAAAGAAAAAAAGGAATATGGAGCACATAAAAGAAAAGAATAGGGAGAAAAGACAATTAAAAAGGAACAAGGAGCACATAAAAAAGCATACAGTGAACAGAAAAAAGATACAAGGAAAAATTAAGAAAAATAAAGGGAGAAAAGACAAAAAGGTATTAGAAATAAAGAACAAAAGTATAGCGATAAAACAAAAAAAAAGGTATAATCTGTACAGAACAAAATATATAAATTTGGGTATTTTCAAATCGGAAAAGCCTAAAATTTCATACAAATTTTCCATGAGTGTTGTTTAGTCAGGGGAGCAGGGAATGAGGCACTTCATTTAAGCTCACTTTTTGCGAATCTCTCTCAACCCCTCTCCCTCCTCCCCTCTCTCTCACACTCCCTACCTTCCTCTGTCTCTCCCCCTCTCTCAGTTTTCCTCCCAAACCTTCATTTTGCTCCTCTTTCCTTCTCCTCTCTCTCTGTCTCACTTTATCTCTCCATCCTTGCCCCTTATCTTTCCACCTTCTCTCTCTGTCTGTCAGTCTGCCCATGTCTGTCTCTGTCTCTCTCTCTGTCTCTCTCTCTCCCCTTCTTTTTATCTCATTCCTTCCCTATTTCTCTCTTTCTCTCTCTCATTCCCTCCCTATCTCTCCTCTTCTCTCGCTCTCAATCCATCCCCCTCTCTCCCCTTCTCTTCTCATTCCCTCCCTATCTCTCCCCTGCTCCCTCTCACCTGTCTATTGATATCAGCATCCAGACTCAACAAGAGTTCCACCATGTTGGTAAAGCCACGGTCACTGGCCCAGTGCAAGAGACACAGACCCTGGAGGGTAGAAGGGGGGGGGGGGGGGAGGGGGGGGATAATAGTTTCAAAACAATGTATAATAATATAACAACAAACACTGCAGTATTGATAAAAACAACAATTATGACAATAATGATAATAATAATAATAACAACAATAATAATCATTATATTAATATAATGATGATGTTGAGGATAATGATAATGATACCGGGAACAAGAAGAAGAAAAAAAAAGAAGAGGAGGAGGAGGTGGAGGAGGAGCAGAAGAAGAAGAAAAAGAAGAAGAAGAAGAAGAAGAAGAAGAAGAAGAAGAAGAAGAAGAAGAAGAAAAAGAAAAAGAAGAAGAAGAAGAAGAAGAAAAAGAAGAAGAAGAAGAAGAAGAAGAATATCAGCAACAAGAAAATAAATAATAGTAGGAGTAATAATAATAATAATAATAACATATACAAGAGAGAAAAGATTACACATACAAAAACAAAGAACTAAACAGATCAGCACCCCACACAAATCAGAAATCTTGGCACAGATATTCCTCATCTATATATGAGGCATCCAAAGGAAATCAGGTGCTCGTTAACTCCTTCGTAGCCTATATGACGTACGCCATTCATCATTTTTTCGTACATGGCAAAAGAGCCAAGATGCTGCTGTGACGTACAGCATTCGTCATGCCTTGTGAAGCACGAGGGCCATGACGACGAACACTTGTGGAGGTGCACAGCTTGCAGGCTGCTCCCTTGCCTTCAGCATTGAAAAAACAAGACTTAGTACAGAGAAATAGGAGAAGCAGACCACAACAGAGAAAGGCCTTTATTATATATTCTTCACTTTACTCAAACCAAACAAATAAAAATTGAAATACTGGAATGAAGGCACAGTAATAGCATTGAGCTGTAGGCATATTTAGTGATGTCAGTCGTAAAAGTGGCCATCCCTAAACATACCCACTATAGCCTTCCACACCTACCTCTTCATCCAGACCGTTGACTGCTTCTGCCCCAAAGGTGAGTAGTTCTCTCACTTTCTCCACATTCCCCTCCTTGCACCTGCGAAAAAGAGTGTGTTTTGAGTTCCAGCAAGATCAGTCTTTCCGGATTTTTTTCTCTCCAGTTTTCGTAAAAGTTTTTCTGCACTTGCAACACAAACAGGACATAAGTGCCAAACTGTAACATTAGAGGTATTATTACAAGAGAGTAACATACAAACAAACAAAAAAGACAGAAGGTGAGATAAGGATGATTTATGTTTGATAGGGAGGGAGTAAACCACACACCCACCAACAACTCACACAAGATCAGGCTGACACAACATTCAGACCACACAGTCAGTGTCCCTGAACAAGAACACAAGCAATTTGGCCAGCAATACCGATCCCTTGAGAGCTGACAATCTCATGTTGCTTGATTGAATACAAGCAACATGATGACTTTTATATTCTTGAGTGTAATGCAGATGATTTCGTCCCCTGCTTATGCATTTTGACTGGAAGATGCAGAAGAAAATCCTAGCCGCACAAAAGAAAAGGCAAACTGTTGCCATCAGCGTAAAGAAAAAATATTTGTGCTGAGTTCAGGCTGTTTGGTTTAAAGTTAAGACACAGAAGGTCAGATTTCACTGAACTCTGGAAGTCCCCTCCCTATATCTCCAGAGGTCCATTTAATGCTGTGGAAAAGGAAGACATACAGAAACAACAGAGGAAAAAAAATAAAGGGTCATACCAGTACCGCCCTCCAACCATCTACAATAAAATGAAGAAATTTTATGGCTTACCAGTCAAAAATGTCCTTCTCGTCTGGACTCAGCTCGGAGTCTGTGTTGGCCATCACGCTGACCGACACACCCAAAGTCTGACCGCGGGTCTGACCGCCATCTGTGTCGCCTTGCTCGTTGAGCTGAGAGGACTTATGTAGCAAATGAGAAAGAGTAAAAATAAATAAAGGAAAATGAGAAACATAAAAATATTAAGGAAAGTGAAAAAGAGAAAAAAAATTACAGAACATGAGAAAGGAAAACATGAAGAAAAAAACATACAAACAAAAAATCCCCAGCCCATTCAAGTACAGCTGGGGAAAAAAATTGGGAGCGATACTTCTGCTAAAAAGTTCTTTAACATTTAATGTTGGGGTTTTATGTCTCCATTGACTCAATTTATATTGTGTAGGAAGTGGGCTTCTACACTGCCTGTCAGGACCAACCCAGGCAGAGAGGGATACAGCATTTCATCAGAGAGACTGAGATACTTGATAAAAATTTGAGAATGTTCACACTTGATTTAGTTATTCCTTCCATTTGAAGGGAGTTCTTGGTTAGTTATTGTATATCATTCATTCCACTTTTAAAATCCTGTCAGTTGTTTTTTTCTTCTTTTCCCCCTTCTTTGTTTGTTTTTTTCTGTCTAGCCATAGGCAACAATCCCTCACCAAGTATATTTTGACTTCTGATTGTGAAAAGTTGAAAAAATATATAATATTGAATCATGGCCAATGGGAAAAGATGGTCCATTATGAAAATAGCAAACATAAAAAAATACTCTTTAAAAAAAAAAGACATTTAAAAGTGGTTGGCCGTAAAAATAAAAAAAATTTATACCGGATCGCATATTATCAGTTCCCAGTTTCCCTCAGACTTCCTGCATTGATACCACAAAACTATGGTACAACACAGCTTACCAATTTACTGCGCCACTCTTGGTCAATGTTGGTCAACAGAGAAATATACTCCATCATTGCTTGGTTTTTGTCCATGTCTCCCAGCTTGTGCCAAGCATCCCTGAAAGTAAACAAGAAGCATAGGATGACATCCATACAAAGTGCCCAAGAAAGCATCAGCTAGTCAGTAAAGTCATAATTGTTTTGTAGGGGGGTTTTTTGCATGAGAAAACTGCAGTGGTTGTACAATCTGTACACCACACTCTTCTAAAAGCCACTGACACGTAGACAAAAAGCAAGCCCAAACAAATTACCAGAAATGTAAAACCAGGCTACCAATTATTCCATGAACAAACAGAACACATTAAAAAAATATAAGCAACTTAGGCTTCATTTTTTTGTGAGCCATATTTCAAACTTATTAAAGACATGGTACTGAAGTAGAGCTATGGAACTGAAAAAAGTCATGTTGAAATATTTCTGAATGTATTCAAGCATGAAAATACCTATCTTTAACAATACAGTCAAAGCAGCAAAAGCAAAAACAGTCAAACCTGGTCAAATGGCGAACTGTACAAGACAAATCGCCTGCACAAACAATCTCTTCACACTCATCCCCTTATAGTTTTTGAACAGTATAAAATGACACCTGTCTAAGACAGCTACTTTTTCTTCTTGATAATGGGAGGGCATCTTAGACAATTTCCACTATATCAGCACCTGACCAGGCATGAGATGCAGTTGAATGCAAATCAACGATCCTTTCCTCAAGCACACAGCAACTCACATCTTGTATTTTCTGGCTCAGGTATTAGCCACATGCAGTAGTTTTACCGGATTTAAACAAGAAAATACACAAGCTACAAACATTTCTATTTGCAAATCAGAACCTACTGACAAAAATGCAAAGTGTTCAACCTATATTCATGGACGGAAGAAAGGTTAAAACATACAAAACAAATTTACAGACTTTCAAGAACTAAGGCAGAGGGTCGGTGTGACGAGAAATAAAAGAAAAAGAAAGAAGGAAATAATTAAGAGTGTCAAATGACATTTGTATGATACCCTAACACAGAGGAGACACAAAACTATCATGAACCAATCAGACTGTCAAATTGCATCCATTTTACTTCAAGAACGATCAGTAGGACAGTTAGCTTGAACCATAAAATGGAAATAAGTGAGGAATGGAAAAATTATAAAGGGTAAGGTGTTAAATATTTACCGTCTTTTCAAAGTGTCTTTGAAATGAAAGATTCCAACTTTGTTCACATAGAGGATTCATGCCATGAGAAAAGTCAACAACATGTCGGTAGTCTTTACTTTCTACAACAATTTTTCCAACTCTAAACAAAAACTCTTGACTTACCATTTGGCCTTTCCCTGGAAGTCAAAGAAACTTGGCTTGGCAGTATTACATTTGCCCTCTTTGGCCTGAAGAAAGAAAATCCCACAGAATACTCATATTCTAGAAAATTATATGGTCTACACTTATAATCTACACAAACACAAAACTTGAATAAAGTTACTAGTTAAAAGCTGTAACTGAATGGAATTTAGACTGAAAAGTTATTCACCAAGCTATGATGCTGAGTAAACTTCCACAAATTTGAACTCAAACTTCCAAGTGATAAATCGGTCAAATGCAATTTGGGGCTAGCTGTGGTCTGTTGGTGGGACATTCTGTCCATGGCCTTTCTACGACCTTGAAACTTTGTGTAAGAAGTTCATTTTTTAAGCCAAAAGAAAACAGCTTGCATCTTACATATTCTTTTGAACTCTTACAGAACCAGAAAAATTGTCTGTCAATCAGCCTAAAGGTCAATGAGAATGGCTGATCAGTGACTCAAAATCAAAGGGTGCCGAAGTAAATATTCCCATTTTTGAATCTTTATAACAACATCCTCATGCTGTTTTGTTAAACATTTGACTAAACATTATCCATACCATTTATTAATCCCCCACCCTCCTATTGTTGAAGAAAGATGACTCATTATATCAATAATAGAGCCTGATCAGGTTGAAAAACAAAAATTAAGATAAGGTTGAGTGTCAAAGAAATTTATGGAAGTGCAATTCAATTATCATTCAAAGTTATAATGAATTAATTAATTAATGGTTTCATGGACAAGAGGGCAGACATCAGAACTTATCCCCACAACTCCAAAGCGGCCACAAGACAGGAATTCTCATTGTGCTCACAAGTGGCCAAAATAGGTGCCGCTGCTAATTTTGGTCAAAAACCGTACTTTGTGTGTAAAATTGACTGCTTTGGCCATTTTTCTGTTTAACAGATATAAAAGTTCCTGACACAATTTGCTTTTTACCTGTTTTTCCAATTAATTTGAACAGCACCTGTATGTAGAGAGCATTTGTTAGGGTTTCTTACAGTTTTGCACTGTTTTTCGCACTTTGGAATAGAAGGCCAACTCGCAGTAAGGCAAAGATGGCTTGCATTCAGTATCGTATCCAAAATAGACAAGCTATGAACTTTCTTAAAAGTTGGAACAGGTTAAATTCTGAAAAGAACATTTCTTCCAATGAGCCAGTTTCTGTTGCGGTACAGTATGTGAGTATGGGCAAGTTTATATTTCAAGTTCTCCCTGGCTCCCATTATAGACTATATAATATAATGTATACTATAGTTTATTATAGTTGTAACTATTGGGTTTTCATTCATTACCAGACCTGCCACTCTATGAAATCTTAAAATCAGGACTTTAGAGTTTATAAATCAGGATCTGGTGAAAAAACTCGGGATCGATGGCAAATCAGTCATAAGGGGCACTGGGGAAGGGGGGGGGCTGGTTCCCTTTTATGAGGCAAGTATGCAAGACAAAACTTTTGCAGGAATAAATTCACGTTTGGGCTTCTAAATAGAGGGAAAACTGAAAGACAGCATATAATATGCAATAGTCGGAGTTGGATAGACTGGAGGAGTGCAGGTTCAAGTAAAACTGAAACTCTCGTAGTCTTGAAAATAGCTGACACATTAATTCTAAATCATCCCCATGCAAAAAGCCCACGTTTTCATACAGCAACAACGTTTCCCCCCCCACCCCCGAAAAAAAAGATTGCGCCAAGCTTGTTCATTTTTTTTCCTTTAAATTCCTCTCCCCTCAAATTAGTACCTGTATCAAGGCATCCACTTTAAGCCCAAGTGTAAAAAAAAAAATACACCCCCATCCCTCCCCCCGGTCGTCCACACTGGTTAAAGTCCCGAAAAACACCAAGACCAACGCGACCGGTGTGAATGAACTTTGTTGACCCTGACAACCGACGGTCCCTGACACACGCGCTACTCACACGTACGAGGTCATGTCATGTGATGCGAATGAGCGTTTGAAAGTTCCACTGACAGGTTTTGATGATGGGCCCGTCAAACCTGAACTCAGACGAAGCTTCCTTTTAAAGCAGCGGCAGAACAACGAATAGATTATTCTTAGGCCCATGTCATTAAATTATTACAATAATCAGGACACCATAAGAGAATTCTGGGTTAATAAAAACGAAAGTAGATCTTGAGCGCATCCAAGTCGGAATTCAAAACCGATACTAGGCCTACGTCGATTTTAGTTGAGATAATGTGCGTGAGTCATCTACTAGATTCGGCGTAGAAGATATGCTTTAGAAAATAGTGTTCCAAGCTCCTGCCGATGAAAAGCCCAATCGGTGCATCCAAGCAAATGAGATTGCAGAACTTTTTATATTTTTTTCTAAGAATCGGACGCAACGACAAAAAATCACGATACTGGCGATTGAAATCGGGAAAATCGGGATGCTTGAGATTTGGGGCAAAAAATAGGGCCAATTAAATCGGGATGTGTGGCAGGTCTGCATTACCCATCTATTTGATTAAAAATCTAAATGATTAACTCCTCCGATGACATAAAAACATTATATTACAGCAGATCAGGAAACAAACTTGCAATGTGTCTGCATGGGCCAAGTTATTCTATATTTTTCGATTTCCTTCGATTTGCCCAAAGCCCAAGTTTCAACTTCATTGCACCCTCCATTTCATCATATTCACCTTAAAAAATGCACTATTCTTTTGTCAATTTCAATCACTCAAACTCAAAAACATAAAGAAAAATTAAATAATGACTCCATTTTCAATTTTCAGTCTCGTTTTCAGTCACTTCTAACCATAAATTCTGCCTAGACCTCATCTACAGTTAAATTAATAAAGATGCAAATGCAGTAGCAGGCAGCGGGCATGCATTCAGCAACTGAAATGCCACATAATGACGCTCCAGGGGGTAAATGTTCAATGTCTTCTAATCATAGACTAGATCTTGGATTTTTCTCGGTTTCTGCCAATTTGCAGGCAGCTCCATCTGACTTAACAAAATAATAAAATTAGCGTGCCTTTCTCTTTACAGTTCACCCTGTCTCTCGTGTCTTTGACATTTCTCTTCTTGCAATTTACTGAGATTTAAAAAATGTAACTATTTTTAATCATAATAGGGCCTACTGAACTAGAAAATCTAGATCTAGATCTAGATCTAGATTAGATCTAGATCTAGATCTAGAATCTAACTAGATTTAGAATCTCTTTTGGGTAAGACTTCCGTAACGATCGATTACCCCAACAAACACAACAAAGAAGAGACCTTACCCTTAGCCTCAACTAAACCTACCCCAAAACTCTATCACCGTCCCTACCACAAACCTAAACCATCCCTAGCTAGCTACTACTAGATAGACTCTAGATAGATTCTAGATCTAGTCCCTACCCCTCTGTTCTTCTCTGTCTCATTGTGGCCACTCCTTACGGAAGTTTTCCCTTTTTTTGTTTGTTAGTGACGTTGTTGTAGATCTAGATATCTAGATCTAGATCTAGAAAAATCTAGTTGTAGACCCAGAATCTAGATCTAGCGTAGATCTAGACTCTAGATATATCTAGAATTCCAGACCTGCTCACCTGCTATAAATTGTAAGTGTCACTCACCTGCTTAAACCGGGCATAGAAATAGAGCAATTTGTCCGATTCCAACTTGCCACTGACACGTCTAACATATTCTGTAGCGGAACCAAAAACCTCCTCCAAGTCATCAAACTCCAGGCCACTCTCTTCTTCCATTATAACAGTTGAGTATGCGTATCACTCTACACGTATTCAACAAGACAGATCACCAAATCCTTGCTATTCCCCTGCGGTAGTAAACATAAACACTTCCACCGACAGTCTTGAACTTCCGGTGCCGAAGGTAGGTTTCAAGTTGCAACTCTTTTTTCGCATTTCTTTTTGCAGCATTGATTTTGTGACAAAATTATAAAGTAATTCAATCTATAAGCACGCTAATAACTCAAAAACTAAACAATATGTTGAACATAAAAATAATGAGGAACAGTAATGGTCTGTTTGAGAATTCACCTCCTTTTCCTTCATTTTGATCCCCCCTCTTTCGCTTTCTTCACATTTCTTTCCTCCTGATCCTCAAACACTCCTTCCTCCCTTTCCGCCGTAAGTGTATTCTCCTCATCTCCTTTCATCCTCTTTCGTTTCTCCAACCTTTTCACACTTTTCCCATCTTCGACTTTTTTCTAACTCCTTCACTTTCCCTCTACCAT